GAAGACGAAGAAGAAGACATAGGCGTCGCGAACCCTATGATGTAATAGCACTGCAAGTTTTCGCTGCTCATCAAGAAGTTTCATAAATGAAACAAAAAATTCACAAAATATGTTTTGCACATTAGATTACATATATTATTAGAGTTTTCAGTTTATATTTGTTTCCAATCACATTTAATTTCGCACAACATTTAATGATCACAAATCATTCAAATCCAATACATTATCAGCACATAATCGGATTCCTAATAATAATTGTTATTAAAAAACAATAAATGCAAATTTTAAAATTTAAATATAAGTTATGTGTTTTTAATTAAAAATATGTACAGTATCAACGATAACTATATTTTATCAGCACATAATCGGATTCCTAATAATAATTGTTATTAAAAAACAATAAATGCAAATTTTAAAATTTAAATATAAGTTATGTGTTTTTAATTAAAAATATGTACAGTATCAACGATAACTATATTTTCAATCGTATAAAATGGACTAATGTTTTACAGATAATCATTGTGTGTATATCTATCAGATCACCGGCAGGACAATACTATAGACATTTTTGTGTTAATGTTGATTATTAATGATTAAATTAACTATAATAAACTAGATAAACTTGTTAAAATATTGAAACAAATATAGAATTTTTAAAATAATTTTAACAATTTCCAAACTATAATAAAAATTAGCCTATTTTTAAACAAATTAATTTTATTTAAAAAAACAAATTGATAGAAAAGGTTTGATAAATACAAACAAAGTCTTACAAGTTATCGGGAAGTATAGGCATATCAGTGCCAAACAATGGCAGCCGCCGGAGCAGATCAGATGCTAAACCAATTGAAAGAGCAGTTGAACACATTTGCCAACAATTTGCAGCGGATATCCATACCTATGGCTGATCTCAGAGAGCCGTACATCGAAGCGGTTGAAGGGAACGCAGTCGACCGAGTGGTGATCGATGGCCTGCCCTATCGGGTCGCTGTCACTGATGTCAGTGAATTAGAGCAATATTTGGGATTCGTTGTCCATAGAGTGACATTGAGTGAGTTTCGTTCGCATGAAAGAGCCCTACTTTGCGACAATTTACTCGGAAACGACACTTCGCTTTATGTCAATAGTCTTGACGTCAATCGGTTCACTTGCGGCTCACACGGAGACAACGGACCGGAGGCCACGAGTTGGCAAACACACAACGCTGACGGAGACCCAACGAGTATCATAGTGGCAGTCATTGGGACCGAAACTGCCGAACGATTGGCCACTCTATTCTTCCCGCCGGTTATCAACGGCCGCTACATTTCAGACAATTTTGTCACAAAATTATTGGCAATTCAGGCCTTGTTTTACGCATTGCACCGAAATATGATCGCAATTCCCAATCAGGAACTCAAAGCGAGACTCAAGAAGAGTTTGGCTTTAGTGAGGATTCGTTTGGATTCACTAGAAAGACGTTTGGGGTATATATTGGGCGAAATGAGTTTCGCTTATGATATCTTCTCGAAGGCGATGGTCATTCACGAAGTGCTTCCAGCGATTCCAGCCCCTCACGGAATACAAGTACAACAGCCACAATATTACCCATCAGGATTTAACCCTCAACAATGGGAACAACAAGTACAACAATTTGTGGCTCAACCGGCGCTTGCGATGCCATTTAGTCTACTCATTACTAGAATACAGGCATTATTAGATCCAATCGCCCAAAGACATCAAGTTATGGCCCAAAATTATGTGCAATTTCCGGCTCAACCCATGTATCTCAATATGAACGCGCCGTCCGATGTCTACACCGTTTACGTTGCGGCCAATGAGCAGAGGGTACTCAATATGGGTGGCGGACAGGGGTATCGGGACATCAACGTTGATATGCATTTCACCTGCACTTATCAGACAAATATCCGGCGATGGCTTGTATTTCAGGCGGACAGGGAATACATGCGCTCCGCCGGGCCCTATGCCAACGGTTTGGGCGGTCAGGCCATGAGTGTGTACGTGGAGGGCGAAGATCGGGTCTATATCATGACTCACGCCGTGGCCCAAGAGTTTCACCAAATATTCGTTGCAAACAAACGAATGGATGGAATACGTAGAGTTAGGCAAGAGTTGGCGTTTTTGGGCCATCTTTTCTATCGGGCCATAGAGGCCATGGATCGGGAGGTGAGTGCGGACCCAACGCTTCTTCAACAGCACTCACTGACGTTGAAAGGCTGTAGAGACCGATACCAGACATTAGTGGACGGTATGCATGACCTGTATTTGAACGCAAAGATGATGGAAGAGTTCTACAACTGTGCCATTTATTTGGAGCCCCCGGAGCCACCCCCAGCCCCGGCCCCGTCACCCGCCCCGAGCCTGCACTCTGACGACGAAGAAGAAGACGAGCCAATCTTCATCAACCCATAGGACCAAACAATAGCACTAAAAGTTGTGCTCATATCAACAAGTTTCAAAATGAAATAAAAAATTACAAAACATCTTTTGCACATTAAATTTGATGTAATATTTTGGTAATTATATTATGGTAATTTTAAGTTTACGTTATATTTGTTTTCAATCACATTAAGTTTGCACAACATTTATTTATCATAAATTATTTAAAGTTTTCAGCACATATCAGATTCTTGAGAATATTAATAATTGTTATTAAAATACATATAAAATGATAAATTTAAAATTTAAATATAAATCATACGTAATTTTAATTAATAATATGTAGTTTTTACTAAATTGTAAACTATATTTTCAATAATTTAAAAATAGACTAATATTTTGCAGCAAATCATTGGCAGCAATCAAATCACCGGTAAGACAATAACACAGACACAATGGCATTAGCACCGGGAGATGGGAAAACATCTGCAATACTAAGACTCATGTATACTCAGATGATCGACGATTTGAGGGAACAAATCAACACATTTGCACACAATTTGCTGCCGCTATCCATACGTATGGCTGATCTGAACGAGTCGTTGATAACCGTGAATGAGGTGGGTGTGGGTGTGGAGCGGGTGGTGATCGATGGCCTACCCTATAGGGTGAGTGTCATTGATGTAACTACTCTTGAGGACGAGGACCACGACCTGATCATCCATCGGATAACACTCACCGACTTTACGGGCACTGAACGGTCGCTTCTGTGCGATATTACGATCGCAAACAACGCGTCCGTGTATTTGCCAAACGCTTTGGGCGTCAATCGGTTTGCTTGCGGTACACACGGAGACAACGGACCGCAGGCCAGGGGTTGGGTTGATCTCAACGCAGAGGGAGGTATAGATAGTGTTATACTGAACGTAATTGGGATCGAGACGGCCGAGCGATTGGCAAATAACTTTGCGAACGGACTATACGTTTACGACGATATGGTCTCACAATTGTATACAATTGAGGGCTTGTTTTACGAATTGTATCGAAAGATTGTCGTCACTCCCAATCACGCGGACGGACAGTATCTGAGGGAACGGATTGGTCTCATGAGGCTTACGGTGTCGTCACTCGAAGAGGTAATGGTGAGTGTAATGGACAACGCGGAAAACGCTTACGATATCTTTACCACCGCAATGGTTGTGCAGGAAGTGCTTCCAGTGGTTCCCTCACCCCCGGGGCTGGCAGTAGAAGTACAGCCGTTGGCGTTTGACTATCAAGACTGGACGCAAGGCATACAACCATTCCTGAATCAGTTGACGTCGTTTCCAGTTCCCAATCAACCACAGGTCCCCGGCATACAGGCTATACAGGCTGTGCCACCGAACCCGGCACTCAATCCACCGCAATTCCTCCCAATTATTACCGCCATTAATATAGTAATGGACAATATTGTGGAACAGCTTCAGGTTTTGAACGACCAGTTGAGAGTATTTCCGGCTCATCCCATGTTTATCGATATGAACGCACCGAATGGTGTGTACCCTATATTTGTGAACGCCAATGAGCATGATGAATTGGAAATGACGGGCCAGGGCGGGTGTCGGGACGTAATGCACACTCACATCAATGAGTTGGCATTCAATTGCACTTTTCAGCCAAATATTCAACGATGGCTAGTATTCCGGGCGGACGGGGAATACCTGCGCTCTCCGGGACCCTATTGTGACGGTAGGGGCGGTCAGTCTATGAGCGTACGGGTGGGCGAAGAGGACAGAGTATATGTTATGGATCACGCGGTGGCGCTTATATTTCACCAAATGTTTATTGTCCGCAATTTCATGGACCCTATTGTGACGGTAGGGGCGGTCAGTCTATGAGCGTACGGGTGGGCGAAGAGGACAGAGTATATGTTATGGATCACGCGGTGGCGCTTATATTTCACCAAATGTTTATTGTCCGCAATTTCATGGGCCGACTACGGGGTCTACGGATAGATCTGATCGCTTTCGCCCATCGCTTCTATCTGGCCGTTCAGGCCATGGATCGGGAGGTAAGGGAACAGCCGGACAGACATCAAGAGTATACGACAGCGTTAAACAACTGTCGACAACAATACCAGACTTTACTCAACGATATGAATGACTTGTATTTGGCCGCTAAGACAATGGAAGAGTTCTACAACTGTGCCATTTATATTCCGTCCCCACTTTTGATTGAAGAACCGCCTCAATAGAAATGGACAATAGCACCGGTGGGTACGGGTGCTCGTCGATGGTATCATCAATTGATGAAGGAATTTAAAATTAAATTAAATTCTTAAACATATTCAAGTATTTTGATAACACTAAATGAATTATTGATAAGTTATATTACAAGTTATGATACAGTACAATACTATCACAAAATTTCACCATGGTTAATTATAGAGGTTAGGTGCGTGAGATTATAATTTACAAATTAACAAAAATGATTTCATAAAATAAGGCATTGATTTTCATAAAAGCACACATTTATTGGTATAACAAAACCAAACTTCAAAACTGAGTTGAGATTTAATTTTTATCAAATCCTTATCATTGCTTGTAATTCACTGTTACCTCCGGTCTCTGTTTCATAACCCTTTACCCGCTATTACCAGAGCCACCCCTACCGGCGCTGTCCTGATTGTTGGCCGGAGTGGTAGTGGACTGAGTGGTGAACACATAGCCGTCTGGAGGGCTGGCGTACTGTTGGGTATACTGTCGGGCGGTTCTGTTGAATCTTTCCCGATTAGACCGATACTGACGAGCGCTCATACTGTCGAGTGGGTCATTGGGGTTGGGGTCGGCCAACAGCTGCTGCACAGACATCAACACTTTGCCAATGGAAAGGGAAGCGCTCCAGTTCTTGGTCAGTGTGTCCAGACATATGGCGCCGGTTTCGCTGATATTCGGATGGTATACCTGAGTGGTGAACGAAATGCGAGGGGCGCTGAACGGGTAGTTTTGCGGGAAAGTGATGTTCACGTTGAAGAGGCCGCCCTCATAGGGAGTGCCCGGCGGACCCTCTATAGTGCCCGTCCACTGGAAATAGTCGGTGCCTATCGGTCCGGCCGTACATCCGGGCGGCGGATCCCTTTGAAGTTCGGTCAACTCTTTGTGGATCCGCTTTAAGGCCATTGTATCGCCCGATGGAGTGCTCTTTGCAACTGTTGTCGAGAACCGGCTTTTGAGACACAAATCAAGCACTCGTTTTGTGTATAACTTTTATTTGCAAATTTTTGGGTTAATTTTGATTGTTTTCAAAATATTTGTCATTAAAATAAATTTACATGTTTTTAAAATAATGAAAATTATTATTTTTAATTAATTTTTATTAAACGTTGTTATATAGAAGACAAGTCTCATAGAAGACAAATAGTTTCAAAGCTCGTGGTAATCAGTAGTACCAAAAGCCATGGCATTAACACCGGAACAGTCGATGGCTGGGCACCTGTTTGCCTACGTGAGCATGTTCGCTCCCATCATACACGAGGTGAGACAACGGATGACAAACTTTGGCCACCGTTTGCAACAGTTATCGCTGGCAACGAATGACTTTCGCGACACCACTATTGACGTGACACACGTGACAGACGCGGATGACAACCAGGAAGTAGTGATCGACGGTCTGCCCTATCGGGTGAGTGTCGGCAATGTGACCGCTGTGGTCAACGCTGAAGAGGGCGTTAGTGTCCATCGGATAACACTCACCGATTTTGCGGGCACTGAGCGGTCCCTTCTGTGCGATGCGATATTGAACGAAGTGGTTGAGCCGTGTAGACCAGATGGAGCGCTTCGGGCTCTATATACTTGCGGCACACACGGAGACAATGGTCAGCAAACCACGGGTTTCAGTTTACCCCAAGGGCAAGACATCAGATACATGATTGAAGTGATTGGCATCGAAACGGCTGACCGATTGGCGCAAAGGTTTCAGCCCCCGGTTGGAAACGGACGCCACGATTACGACCAATTGGTCGATGAGTTGTATGCAATGCAAGACTCGCTCTACACAATACACAGACGGGCTATTGGTGTAAACCATCCGGACTACAGACAACAACTGCAGCAAATGGTTGGTGGGATGAGAGGGCGATTGGCGGGACTAGAAAACGCGGCCAGCAATTTGTTGGACATCGCAGAACTAGCGCACGATCTCTTCGAGCGGGCAATGGTTGTGCAGGAAGTGCTGCCTCGGGTGCCATCGCCACCCGGTCTGCCACCTGTGGTGCCGCCATTGGCAGCATTACTGCCGGAGGCAATAGCGGCTATGGCTCAAGCGTATCAAATCCCTGCGGCCGCGGATCTGCCAAACTTCGAGACAATTTGCGACGATATTCTCGTTAGACTGAACGCCATTTGGGTTCAAATTCACAACTTGGATGAGGAGTGTTTCGACATTCCTCACGACGATATGTTCATCGACCTGAACGGACCCAATGGTAACTTTACAGTGCACTTCGATCGCGGGGACTACCACGAGATGGACATTCGGGTTGAAGGCAATGAGTGGCGCCGGGATGTGTTCACTCACAACCATCAGCGCATATATACAGTCGTTTATCAGCCAAATATTCAGCGATGGCTCGTGTTTATCGAAGAGGGAGGGCAACTGGTGTACGATCGCGCCGCCGGGCCATATAATGACCGTATGGGCGGTCAGGCCATGAGTGTACGGGTAGGCCATCAGCACCGGCTATATTTCATGGGTGGAGTTATTGCTGAAGATTTGCAACAACAATGCATAGGGAATGCGAACACGAATGCCGTACGACAGCAACGCAAACAACTCATCGGTTTAGGCCATCACTTCTATCGGGCCGTAGAGGCCATGAATCGGGAAGTGAGAGCTGCGCCGCCGCCGCCAATAGAGCACTCATACGACAACGCGGAGCCGCATTGGCTGCTCGGCCAAGAGTTTCCGCATCTGGTGAACGCCGAGTACCAAAACATCGCCGACTACTTCCCGGAGCTGTTGAACAATCGTAGGCAACAATACGAGCGTTTGTTGCAAAAAATGCAAGAATTGTACGAACGGTCAAAAATGGTCAAAGAATACTACGATTGTGCCGTTTATATGCCGGACCAGTATTATTAAACACGACCACAATTCGCACTTCCAGTCGTGTTTTTCATTAAAGAGTTTGTCCGCAGTTTTTTAGATTCACACTTCAGTAAAAGTCATATAAAATTTCAGTTTCATTTCGATTTATTTTAAGATAATTTTATTTTGCATCCAATTTATAATGAAAGCAAAATATGTTAACTTTAAACGATAGTAACGATTCTTTGATAATCTATAAAGTTGTGATTTTTGCTGAAAATTTACTAAAAATTTGCACATTTTTGCGTCAATTTTGATTGTTTTCAAAATATTTGTCATCAAAATTATAATGTTTTTAAAATAATCAAAATTATTATTTTCAATTAATTTTATTTATATAAAATTTATTTTGTTATATAAAAAACAAATCTCAGAGAAGACAAATAGCTTCAAAGCTGGTGTCAATCAGTAGTACCAAAAGCCATGGTATTAGCACCGGGAGAGCCGAGGGCTGCGAACACATCGTTCGCTCAAATGATACACGAAGTGAGCGAACAGATGACAAACTTTGGCCACCGTTTGCAACAGTTATCGCTGGCAACGGATGACGTGCGCGACTCCACTATTTACGTGACAGACGCGGGTCACCCGCGCTCAGTGGTGATCGACGGTCTGCCCTATCGGGTGAGTGTCCACGATGTGACCGGTATGACCGAGGACGCTGGACAGGGCGTTAGAGTCCATCGGATAACACTCACCGACTTTGCGGGCACTGAGCGGTCCTTTGTGTGCGATGTGATGCTCGACGAACAGAAATGTGTGCCCTGTGAACCAGATGGGTCGCTGGGCTATCTATTCACTTGCGGTACACACGGAGACAATGGCCCGCATCCCTGGGGTTCCCTGTGTGAAGTCAACGCGCCCGGAGAGCGAGTCATCGCACACATGATTCATGTGATTGGCATCGAAACGGCTGACCGATTGGCGCAAAGATTTCAACCCCCGGATAGGAACGGACGCCACGATTACGACCAATTGGTCGACGATTTGTATGCAATTCAAGACTCGCTCTACACAATACACAGACGGGCCATCCGTGTCAACCATCCGGACGACAGACAACAACTGCAGCAAATGGTTGGTGGGATGAGAGGGCGATTGGCGGCACTGGAAGACGCGGCCATCAATCTGTTGGACGTCGCAAAACTAGCGCACGATCTCTTCGAGCGGGCAGTGGTTGTGCGGGAAATACTGCCTCGGGTGCCATCCCCTCCCGGTCTGCCACCTGTGGTGCCGCCACTGGCAGCAGCTCTGCCGGAGATAATAGCTATGGCTGAAGCGTATCAAATGCCTGCGGCCGCGGATCTGACAAACTTCGAGACCATTTGCGGCGATATTCTCGTTAGACTGAATGCATTTTCGGAACAAATTGATGACTTGGATGTGGAGTGGTTCGACATTCCTCACGAGGATATGTTCATCGACCTGAACGGACCCAATGGTAACTTTACAGTGCACTTCGATCGCGGGGACTACCACGAGATGGACATTCGGGTTGAAGGCAATGAGTGGCGCCGGGATGTGTTCACTCACAACCATCAGCGCATATATACAGTCGTTTATCAGCCAAATATTCAGCGATGGCTTGTGTTCATCGAAGAGGCAGGACAACTGGTGTACGATCGCACCGCCGGGCCATATAAAACCGGTGCGGGCGGTCAGGCCATGAGTGTACGGGTGGGCGATCAGCACCGGCTATATTTCATGGGCAAAAGTATTGGCAAAGATTTGCAACAACACTGCTTAGGGAATGCGCACACGAATGCAGTGCGAGAGCAACGCAAACAACTCATCGGTTTAGGCCATCACTTCTATCGGGCCTTAGAGGCCATGAATCGAGAAGTGAGGGCTGCGCCGCCGCCGCCAATAGAGCACGTGTACGACAACCCGGAGCCGCATTGGCTGCTCGGCCAAGAGTTTCCGCATTTGGTGAACGCCGAGTACCCAAACCTCGCCGACTACTTCTCGGATCTGTTGAACAATCGGAGGCAACTATACGAGCAGTTGTTGCAAAGAATGCAACGATTGTATGAACGGTTAAAAATGGTCAAAGAATACTACGATTGTGCCGTTTATTTTCACGACTAGTATTATTAAACACGACTACAATTGGCACTTCCAGTCGTGTTTTTCATTTAAGAGTTTGTTTGCAGTTTTTTAGATTCACACTTCAGTAAAAGTCATATAAAAATTCAGTTTCATTTCGATTTATTTTAGGATAATTTTATTTTGCATCCAATTTATAATGAAAGCAAAATATGTTAACTTTAAACTACAGTAACGATTATATCGTTTAATTCTTTGATAATCTATAAAGTTTTGAAATATTGTATTCAAAATAGTTATGCGTTCGAGCGTTGGTTCGGGACTTAAAAATATTGCCCATATGTGAGCGCATTGGCTCCGAGACAGCCCTGGAATGTGAACACAACTAGCGCTCAAATGATTGCCATATTGTCCGCAATTTCATGACCCGATTACGGAGTTTACACGGAGTCGACATATATTCAGATATTTTGATGACACTAAATGAATTAAGTTCTACATTCTTAAAATAAAATATTATGATACCACAAAATTTTTCGATGTCTAATTACATACGTTAGGTGGTTAGGATGATAATTTATAAATTTTAATCTTTGAAAAAAATGTTATCATATTTAATAACAATAAAAATTAATATTTTTAATTAATTTAAGAAATATTAAATTGTTATGTAGAAAATAAGTATCACAACAAAAATAGTTTCAAAGCACAGGTGGACCAGTAGTAGTAAAAGCCATGTCATTCGCAACGGGACAGCCATGGGATGCAAACACACCATTCGCTCAAATGATATCCGAAGTGAGACAACGGATGACAAACTTTGAAAACCGTTTGCAACAGTTGTCGCTCACAATGAATGACATTCGCGGCTCCACTATTGACGTGACACATGTGGGTCACAACCAGGCAGTGGTGATCGACGGTCTGCCCTATCGGGTGAGTGTACACGATGTGAGCGCTCTCGTGGTTGTCGCGGGCGGTAGTGTCC